TAATACTGCAGTAGCAAATAGAGAGTTAAATATCATCAAATCCAGTAACTTTTATGGTCATGATAATGAAGACTCATTTGAATAAATTACAGCTTTTGAACAAGCTGCTACTGCAAATCAATAATAAGATAACTGAAAATATCATATAGCTACAGGTTATTTAAAAGATGCTGCAGCTAAATGGTATGAGAAAAACTATACAAATATCAATAACTGGAATAACCTGAGAAGTGTCACCAGTTTTGTATCTCGATTCACTCAACAATTTGCCAATGCTACAATAAAAAATAAGTGAATATTAGAATTGAAAATTCTACAACAACTACCTAATCAAACAGTTAGTGAATATGCTCTAAAATTCAAAACTTTAATAAGTAGAGTTGATCCTATGAGAAATTTTGGATAAGACTATAGAGTTAGAAAATTTATGCAAGGATTACAATCACAACTTATGACTATAATTGTAAAACATAGCCCTAATAATTTAAACGCTGCTATTCAAAAAGTTAAGGAAATAAAAACTGGATTCTCTATGACTTAACTTATTTAACAATAACAAATAATGACTAGTCAAGTCAAACTTCTTTAATAACAAGTAGCCCAAATCTTAGCGAATTTAGCTAAAACTCAAAACTGTCAGCATAAACTTGAACAAAGATTATATAATAATAGTAATACATATAATAATAGATATGGTCAACGACCTTTAATTTGCTTTAATTGTAGAGAAGAAGAACATTTCGCATGAGATTATCAAACGAAAACAACTACTAAAGCTTAACCTTGAATCTTAATTAAGTCCTGCCTAAGAAATGTAAATATGATAGAAACTGAAAAAGAAGAAGAAATTTTTGTAGCTTATTCAGAGTCTCAAGCTAAAAATAGAAAATGAACGTCTCAATCAACATCAAATATCCTATCCCATTTACATAAAGTTCTTATGCAACCACATTGGGAATAAGAATATAATATAGTTCAAGATTTAAAAAGACATGATGCTCATGTATTGTTTGAATAACTTCTTAAAAATCTTCAATATCATAAACAATTAAAAGCAGAAATTGAACGAGTTGAAAAAGATGTCAATGTCAATTTAGCCCAAATTTATGTTAATGATAATAATAAATATATTGCAGCAAGATACATAATTAGATACAAAATAAACTCAGTCAAAGCAATCTTAGACTCAGGAATCGCTGCTTGTATTATTTCCACCTTCTTTGCAAAAAAATTAAAGTTAAAACCTTATAAGGCTTCTGATATTATGATTATTATTGCAGATGGCTAACGAAAAAGATTTTTAGGAAAAATTACCAACACTCCATTAATTATTCAAGGTGCTCAATTTACAGTTGACCTTCAACTTATTGAATCAACTCAAGATACTTTATTATTAGGAATTAATTGGTTCAAAACTTCTACGTCAGAATGTTCTTTGATTAAGATAAAATCAGACTGAGAATTAATAATCAATTTGTTGAATTGCCTATAAAATGCATAGAAGAACATCAACCCTTCTTTAGAATTTTATCTACCTCAATAGATGATAAAAATTCAAAAGAATATGAAAATTAACTTCTAAGGAAAACTGATCTTTATAGCATTGAACCGAAAGATAATATACTATTTGACTATAACTGGGAAAATAATTCTAATTATTCTATTGAATAAGACGAGTTAGAACAAATTGAATGTTTTTATGATTCATATGATGATATCTTTAATATTTAAGAGTTATACCTAGCTGAGAAAGAAACTTCTTTAAATTCTAAACAAAAATATATTATTTTGTTATTATCTAAAGAAGTAATCTCTACTAGTAGAACTGACATTAGATGAACTTCATTTATTAGCTACCAAATACCTTTGCAACTAAATACTAAACTAATTGCTCAATATCCATATCAATTAAATGCTATTAGGAAAGAGTTTCTTAAAAAGAAATTGAGAAGATGTTAGAAAAAGGTATTATACAACCCTTAGAAAGTCCATGGGTCTCTCCTGTTATTATTGTCTTAAAGAAAACTGGAGACTTAAGACCATAGTTAAAAATTTTAAGTAGAGATTTGATAACGTGACTACCTTGAGTTAAAGAATTCTACAGTAATAATATATTAAATATTGTATTTAAGGGTAATAAAAGTTAAATATTTTAAGCTTATTTAGTTGCAAAGTAAAGATGCAGATTCAATTTTTAATACTATAATTACACTTTTTGATGAGAAAGATTTGTAAAAATTTTATATTTTTCTTTATATTTAACAATATTAATTAATATTTTTTTAAAAAAATATAGAAATAACATCAAAAATCACTTTATTTACATCTGATGGAGCAAGTGTAATGCTTGAAAAAAGGAATGGAATTGCAGCAAAAATTGCTGAAAGGAATTCATATTTATTTACTATACACTGTATTGCTCATAAATTAGCATTAGCATGTAATTCAGCGGAAAAATATGTACCTTTTTGTAAATATGTGGAAGATATTATAAAATCAATTTTTTTTTTTTTTAGTTCTTCAAGTAAAAAACAAGAAATATTATGACAATATCAAACAGTTTTAGATCATCCTATTTTAAAAACTCAACAAATTTACAAAATAAGATGGTTATCATAGTACGAAGCAGTGAAAAATTTATGTTTAACCATTAAATCTTTAATGGATACACTATTAGAAATATCCATTATTTCAAATAGAAATCAAAAAGAAAGCATTATTCAATTATATACTCAAATTTGTAATTGGAAATTTTTGGTGGTACTTTTCTTCTTATATGATATCTTAGGTTATCTTAACAATTTAAGTAAAATATTTCAACAATAACATATTCAAATTTCAAATATTGATCTATTAATTGAAACAACAATTAATAGAATTAAGTTAGAATATTTAGATTTTGATGATAATAGAAAACTATTACTTGGAGAAATTTAAACAAATTTTTAACCAAAATACCATTAGAATCAAATGTTAGTATTGGTACTCATGAGCTAATGTGGACAGAGAATTATGAATCAGATTTAATTCTATAATTTTATTATTTTCTGAAGCAGTTATTTTAGAATTGCAAGAAAGATTTCTGAATCAACTCTTATTAAATGCAATAAAAATTTTTAATCAGTTTATTTGACTCAGATGATAAGGAATTATTGGTTAAATATAGGAAGGATGAATTAAATATTTTGATGAAATATTATATGACTATTATTGAAGAAGATGTTTTTGATGAATGGAATAATTATAAAGCAATAGTTTATGTTAATTATAAGATAATAAAGTTGGAATTATTACTTCTGAAATTATTTGAAAATTATTCTGAAGATTTTTCAAATATACTAAAGTTATTGAGTATTATTTACTCAATTCCTTTTTCAAGCGTGGAATGTGAAAGGGGTTTTTCAAAGCAAAACTTGATTAAAACGGATTTGTGAAATAATTTAAATAATGAAACTTTAATTTATTAATGATGATAGGGTTAGATAATGTAGATTTATTAGAATTTGATTTTAGCCGTGCTTTAAAAATTTGGAATTTACAGTGTAAATGAAGAATTTAATTTCTTTAAATTTAATAAAGATTTATTATGATCTAGTAAATTTATTTGAAACTGGATATTTTTCCGTTTAATTTTTAAAAAATCCAGTAAATTTTTATGTAACCGGATATTTATCCAAAAATTTTGAAGTACTATTTTACGTGATTTCTGATGATCATTTTAAAAAATTCATTTTAAAATCTTTTTTTTTAATCTTAAAAAATGACAATAATCGAAGAATTTAGACAACAATTAACAAAGGTAGAAGTGAAACATGGTAAAGCAAAGAAGAAGTTGAATGATTAAGAAGGAGGAAACTATAAAAGGAAGTTGTTGAACGAGTTGAGGTTGAAGTTATTTAATGAAGAATATAGGAATAAGGAGCAGAAGAAAGGTTGGGAAGAGATGGTAAAGAAGTTGAAAGAGGAGAAGAAATCATTGGAAGCAGAGAAGAAGAAGTGGGAAGATCAGGTGGTATTTTTACAACAAGAATTAACAAAATTTAATAAAGAAGGTAATGAACAAATTGCATAAAAAAAAATAATTATTTTTCATTCGTTCAATTCTGTTTCTTTATTTATTTGTTTGATATATTATTTACAAGCTTTAACTAATTTGTATTTTTTCTTTGGTTGCTTATTAATCCACCTTTTATAATTAAATATACAATCTTTTTTATTTATCTGTCAAATATTGTTTCAAATCAAATTCTGTGATTTTTTGCTCATCTTTTGTTCATTAAAAGAGTTAATTGAAAAAGAAGCAGTTAAGATTAATTTTAACACTTACATTTATGAAAAGTAACTAACCTGTTCCTTTTTTTGTTATTCTCTTTGACCATAAAATGTACATTAGGTGAGTAAAATTTTCTACTCATTCAAAGACTCTCTTATTATCATTATTATTTATTCATTTTTGTTTATCCTATGAGTTCATCATCATCAATTAATACTTGTTTTCTTTTACCCATATCAATTTTTTTTTCTGATTAGATCATAATGACTTCCATTTAACTAGTCTTCAAGATCCAAAAAGGTCATTAGATTTAAATTCTGTTAAAAAAGCTTTTGATTATGACTACACAAATTGAAAATAGCTTTGTGTTTCATTTTTGAAGCATTTGGATGATCTGGCTAGCATATATGACAGAGATAATTATTATTCACCATATATAACATTAATATAAGCAAGTGATATAGGGAAGACACGATTAATGAAGGAAATTGGAAATGATATTTTTGTGATATATTCATGCTTTCGTGAGAGTTCTACTGAGAGTGGCTTTCCAAAACATTCTATTTATGCTGATAATATCCTGCAAAAAACAACCAATATAAATGCTTGCTTTTAATGGATAGCATGTTTATGTGCATGCTTGGTATCACTAGAAAAGTCTCAAATGAAATGTAAGGAATATTAGAAGTATCAACAATTATTTAAAACACAAGAAACTATCAGGGATATGTCTCACACAATTTTTCATTCTCTAGAAAGTTCATATAAAAAGCATAATAATGAGAATGAAGTACAGTTGTTAATAAAAGATGAATTGAAAAAGCATTACAATAATTTTATTGTAAATCAACAAACCCAGCTTGATAAAATTCCAACAAAACTAAAGTTAGTCTTTACATTTGATGAGGCACATTCTTTACTCCCATCTGAAGAAAGATCAATAGATTATTATTATTGACTTCAGATCACTTTACATGCATTTTCTGAAGTACAAAACTAAGAATGTCTTATATTTTCTGTTATAATAGACACAATGGGAAAATTATCCAATTTTTCACCACAGATTAAATATGATCCTTTCTTATGAGTGCAACATAGAAGTCATAAGTTGTATTCTCCATACTATCTTCTTAACATATTTGATGCTCATATTCATACAGCTGTTTTAACACCAGATACTTTAGATGAAAATGCAAAATGTTACTGTTTGGCAGACCTTTATAGTATACTCAGTTGTCATCATTTAATGACCCTGATTATTTTGACAGGTTGGTAAAAGTGGCTATGTCTAAACTAGGATTTATTCATTCAAAAAAGCTAAATTTCAATATAGCTATTTCCATTCTTAGTTCACGCATCCAACTTGATATTTCTCCTCAATCTGAGCTTGCAACTACTTTAGTTTCAAACTATATGTATTTGATGATGTATGAAGATCGCTAAATAGTTATTACACAATCTTTATTTAAACCTATTTTGGCTATAGCAGCAGCAGCAATTATGAATCAGGATAATGTTAGAATCAATAACATTCTTAACTATCTTGTTCAGGAAATCAGAAAGGAATCTGTTTTGCGTAGATATCATGGTGAGACTATAGCTCAACTAATTATGTTAATGGCATAGAATAAACATGCAGCCACTCGTCTCTCTTCTTTGAGTGTAAAGTTTGCAGAGCCAATGAGGATTTTTGACTATTTGAAATTCCTGGTTGTTAATGAAGTTTTTGAAGATATATGAAAGAAAATAGAAAATACTAACTTAACAAATGGATGGGTTCATTTCAATCATTTTGTTAAAATCACATATACCCTAACAAAACTTAACTTACTTGAATTTGCTAAACGTGAAGTTGCAGCTTGTTATAAAGAACTCCAGAAAGGTGCTGATTTGATTATTCCAGTTTTAATTGATGGAAAGTTACATCTAGATAATGTTACATTCATATTGATACAAGTGAAAAATCACTCAAAAACGACATCATATAAAATAGAAACTACTCTTAAACTTACACCTGAATATATAGAAATAGAGGATTTTAAAGATTTTAAATTACCATATCTGTCATTATATATGCAAATTAGTATTGATCAACATAATCATGAGGTTTTATCATCAAGAAATAGGAATCAAATATCTGTTGCACTTTTTGGGTTGACTAGAAAGTTATATAGTTGTCTGGATTTGAAAATGGAAGATAAAACATTTGAACTTGAAAAATCATTAATTTGCAGATAGCATCTGTAAATTTGATGGAATTGATTGAAGATGAAGATAAGAGAAAGATTATTTATCATATGCAGCCTCTTGTTTATGATGAGAAAATATTGAAGAAAAGGAGATTGAAATAATAAGAAATAATAATTCCCATTAAACATCATTTATTTGTATTAGTCATGCATGTTTACATTAGATATACAATGTTTTAAATGATATTTTGTATATTTTCTATGATGTATAATTCAATGTACGAACTTTGCCAAGTATGCTTGGTTCTTTATCTATTTATATACAATAAGTTATATACAATAATAAATTTTTTCTAAAAGTGAATTAACTACTTGCGACATGTATTCTATGTTAAAACATACGAAAAAATTCTCTATTTCTTCGCGATTTTTGAAGGTGATGGCCTTGTTGGAATAATCTCATTAAATTTTCTTTTGAAAATCTGTATATATTTAGCATTATATTTAGTTTCAACATTATTTTCCATTTCGATTTTGATAATCATCTATAACAAAACTAATTTAGAATAGATCAACTAAAAGTATCTACAAAATTATAAAATGTAACCTACCATAAATTCCAATAATCTTAATATACCTGATTTCATCTCTGACATCTGTGCCAGGTTGGAAGCAATGTTAAACTTCTATACTGTATTCTTCATATATATATACTCCATCTTTCCATATTATAAGCATTTTGATTTCGAAAAGATAACCCAATATTCCGAAAACAGACCGGTTATTGTAATTCATGTCACCTTTTCCCATGGCTCGTAAAATCCTAACGTTTAAACAATCTCTCATCTCTCTGTACAATTTAAAAGAATCCATTGTAAGTTTTGTTAAATCAGATTTAGTGGGAGGTCCGGCTTGCTCTCCAATAAAAGTTTCTTCTCCCGTTTTCCACGTCCACGATAACAAATCTGCAAACTTTCCGTCGACTATTTTGTCTATAGCATGGTTATGTCAATAGTTTTTTCGATACTTTGAGGCCTGCACGGGAACTTCCATGCTAAAATAAAAATAAATTTAACATAACGATTTGAAAACAACATTACGATAGCTTAACTCAATAAACTCAATGCTTACGCTCTCCAGTCAAGACCTATAAATTCTTGTAATGTCCTTGAGAAAAAACGATGCCCAAATCCTGACCAATAATGGTGCTCACTGTTGTTTGGGGCACTAATATCTGGGACTGGTTTTGAGAATGATTCGATCCTACAATATAAAATATTAGAAACAATAAGTAATTAATAAAAATAAAACTAAGAAATCACTTACAATGGAAGCATAACTCGATTCAAATATTTTTTATCTTTATTATCTCTTCGTGATCTTCCTCGAATATCCATCATGTCATCGTTCGTGCACCTATATATTGAGAAGGTATTAGTTATAGAATTAAAAAATATATCTTAGAAATTCAAATACTTACGAAAATAAGCTATTTTGCTGGGATTTTTTATACTTTATAAAATGTGGAGTAAATTCCCCAAAGTACTGTTCAATGCAAACCATTTAATATTTACTATACGCTTTAAAAAATTAGCATCTACAAAAAACATACCTTGGACTCGTCCAGCTTTGCTAAATTCATAGCAGATATCCTTAGTATATTTTCGTTAATTGATACTTCTGAGTCGTATGTGTTACTGACAATTTGATGAAGGGGGGTTTAAAATCCGTCTGTAAAATAAATTAGTTTCAAGAACAGTCTTGTTTAGATAAATATGAAGCAAAAAAAGGGTTATTACCATCAAACGCAATGTTTTCATTATCAACATAATCAAAAATCTCTGGTGACAGTTCTTTCTGAAGGTTATCTATTCCCTCCTCATCAACCGTCTTAGATTCTTCATCTTGTTGATGACTTGCAAGACGTTTTTCCTGGTTTTTCGTTAATTGATTTCCAATAATTTCGTTTTCATTTTCATACATGACGTAAGTTTTTCCACGGCGTTGGACTCTGATTCGTTCCTGCCACATACCGATACAAGTTAATATTATTCCAATCAGGTGTGTCAACATTAATCTATATATAAATATAATTAATAATAGGTTTCTCTAGCAACTAAGTAAATAATAATTAATCAAAAAAAAACTATAGAATGTTGCAATTATCGCAATGATGGGGCTGAGGGCGACACCTAACTACCCACAGTTACAGGGCGAAACCTGACTGGAACTTCCCACATCATCACTCTGGCGAGGGCGAAACCTAACAACCCGCAATACAGGGCGAAACCTGATTGGGATGCCATAGATGCAGAAAATTAAAACATTCACACCTCCTTCACATTAAGTATTTCTACAGTTGTTCTAAACCGTTTTTTCCATGCGCCATCTAAACTATTAAAATCGGTCCCTTTCGGAGGAGAACGAACTACTAAATCGATATTTTCCCTAACAAATCCTGAAAGGGATGGAGAATATTCCGAAGCCTGCTCAAGGTACTTTCTAAAGTCTAAATTAATAAAAGAAATAATAGAAGATAAGTATTCGTTTTTAAAGTAATATATTAAAAAGTAATTTATGATTTTAAGAATCTTTCCAATATTTTAATTGCAGCATTCTCTCTATTAGTGGGGACATTATCTTCGATCTCTACAAGTTGTTTTCTTTCTGCACGAACAGATACCTTGTCAAAGCTCTGATAATTGACAAAACCCCCACATGTGAAACTCTGCCAAAACTCTAATAAACAATTAATGTGTAACATGTTGAAACTCTGTTGATTGATTTCTGGAGGAGTTTCGCCCACAACCTTAGCCAATCTTGATAATATAAAGATTAAAACATTTGCTTGGGGATCAATTACAATGATTTGGTCCCTGATTTCTTCACAATTGGTACTTGGTACCCTCAAAACCTATCTATACCGACAAACTAGATATATTATACTACATAATACTCAATAGAATTTTTTTTTCATGGACTGATTGGAAAAAATATGGATTTTTATTATTCTTGTTGCAATATGATGATTTTTTCACAACTGGTATTTATTACCCGCAAAAATCTCTATACAGTCAAACTAGTTACATTACATTGTTTTCAAACCACTACTCCTCTTCCAGTTTCAAAGATATGGGTACCAAATCTGCATAAAAGATAGTATATACATTATATTTTTAGAGCTATGGAAAGATTTAATGGTGTAAAAATACCAATGGCGTAAAAAATCTTATTTGAAATACAGAAAATTTCTTTCTTTATCGTAAAAGTTCTATCTATTGCAACTTCCGAAAAAATTGTATGGAATAAAGATTTTCTCTTCATAGCACTGTTCTAGAAATGCCTCCTGATTAAAAACCTCTAATAATTTTATAAATATGACGATTTTCCAAAAGCCTTAGTATTAGCTGTTAGCAATTGAGAATTCTAATAAAACCGTTCCAAATAGTAATACCGTAATAATAAAAGTTTTTCGCTACACTGAATTCTTTTTTTAGAAAATAAAAAAAGGGTAATAGTGACCATAAAAAAATCCGCATATATGGATTTATCTTGATTAGATTTGTTAATCAACTTATATCGAATACCCCAGAATTTTATGCATGTGAAATTTCTGAGCCATTCTGTACAAGAAATTACCGGTATTTACATTCACTCACTATTCCCATACTTTTTCTCAAAGCATATACAATTCTTCTTGAGCAGGACACCCGACTCTATGATAAAAATCCTAAACGGCTCGTCGAATTCATGTTGTTGCTGCTTAGTAATATACTGTAAAGTAGTGGTTACATAAATTTCATTTTAGTAACTAGTGATACAATAAATGAAAATCATTCCCTACTCTATTTTCGAATTTGTGGTGAAAATTCAAATATTCTTCTAAATTCGAATTTAATTCAAATTTGTTTGAAAAAAAATTCAAATATTGAGACAATTGAGATTGAAATGTCTAAATGTTTAAAATGTCCAAACAATTTAGACTGACTAAATTCTCATTGGACAACTTTCCCTTTTTTTACCGCATCTTTTCTCTTTGAAAGGTCATCATACTATTTATATTTTAATTTAGCATTTTGTCTAAATGCTATTTTTGATTTTAGTTATATCCCAAAACTCTTATCTGTATTAATTAATATTATTATTTTATAAGGGTAATTCTATATATATCACTAAAGATAATAATCACATTACAAATTTTGATCCCTGAAATCCTTGGTAACACCAATGTTCACTTTGTCTGGTTTTGTTACAGTATGCCCCATATTATAAATTCTAATATTTAATATTTAATAATAAACAATTGATTTAAGTAAATAAATATAATATAATATTGCTAAATTATATAACTAAATTTATAATTTATTTATAATTATATAATTTATATTTTATTATAGAAAGTTATTTTTCTTTTTTTGTAATATATCTATTAATTTAAAAATGGGTTGCTAAAAGTTATATTCATTCAGTAAATCGCATAATTTATTTTACTAACTTTCTATAATTAGATGTGATTATACTAATTATTAATTAATTATATAAATAATTAAATTTCTATTGATTTTTTAACTTTCATGAAAGAGAATAAAAGATTAATCTTCATTCTAATAACCTTTAGACCAAAATTCAGTTTTTCACAATGATAAAAATAAAAGATAAAATAAAATAAATGAATATAATAATAAGAATAAATAATAAGTTTTCACATTCTATATCCGGTGATTTCTTTTCATGTTAATATTGATTAATTTACTTATAAACTTTCAATGTTCTGTTTCATAAAACACTTTCTTTAAAGGGATTCTTCGATAACAGCGAAGATCCCTTTTTGGGAAATTATTTCTAAATAAATTTTGATTCGTTCATAAGAGGCGAAAGTAACAGCTTGACCAACACCTACACGCATCAAACGAGGGAAAAGTCCTTTATACAAGGCCAAATAACCTTCGTTTTTTATAAGAGTGGTAGTCACTGATTTGAATCTAGACCAACCTTTTTCAGTGCTACTTGAGCGCTGAATACGAGTTTTAATGGTATCAATAGGTGCATTTGCAATAGGTCCTAAAAAAAAAAAAAATTTTTTAAGTAAATATAATAAATATAATTTATAATTTATAACAAAAAAAACAGAGAAAATTTACCCATAGCACCACTTAAACCACCCATCAACAAGTGTTGATAAGTTGGCAATTCTTGACCTTCTTTTGTTTCTTGTAATTTTTTCATTTGTTTTTTCATCTCTTGATAAACTGTGAAATTGACAGCTTGATTTGTGGCTTGTCGAAGCGCAGTCAAAGCAACACCTTTATACATTGCTTGAATACCCTCTTCTTTTATTATAGTATAAGCTGCATGAGCCGCATTTCGATACTTTGGAATATCCAAAGGATCGGTCATTGAATGACGTTGAGCTTGTAGACGAATCTTTATGACGTCCATTGGAGTCACAACGAGTACGGCTTCTGTAGTACCTGCGCCAAGACCGGCTTAATAAAGGGAGATAAACATCAAAAAATTAATGATCGTCGATAATCCTTTAATTGATCTCGTTGATCAAATCAGTTGGGGTTTATGATGATCACAACATACCAAAAAATGTAGCAGTGGTTGAAACTTTGCCAGTATTTTTATTCGCCAAAAAACCTTTATAAGCCTCAAAGCTGGAGAAACGAATAGCCATCTTCGGCACAATTCCTGTTACTACAGCGCCAAACCCTTTATACAAGGCGAACCATGATTCTTTTCTTATAATATTAACAGCAACAGTAAAAAAGCCTGGCCTATGACTCTAAGAAATAATCGAGTCAGAGTTTTGTGGATCATATTATAAAAAAATCAAGATAATATGGATGATTACCTTCTTACTCAATTGCATTCTCACTTTTATCGTATCTAAAGGATGACAGCATAATGCTTCACATAATCCCGCACCCCCACCAGCAAGGAAATGTGTTGAAAGGTTCTTTTTGTCACCGGATTTCGGCATTATAATTATGTAAAGTAGTGTTAAAAATGAAGTGTAAACCTAAATTAACCTGAGGTTGTTTGTTAGGATAGGTCAAGATTAAAGTTGGTTAGAGTAAGTTAGAGCAAGTGATAACTGATGGACGGTGATTTTTTTTTTTCATCAAGGGAATCAGGGCTTTTTATTTAAAAAATTTTGAATTAAAAGTGTCCGAACCAGATTGTCATACAATAATCTAAGCTAAAATTAGATAGATAATCATACAGAAAAAGATAAAAAAGAGATTGTGAATTTCTAAATTGTATCACCAAACTTCAACTGACATGCATAATAAAGTCATGTAATTTTTCGGATCTTTAACTGTACGAAATCAAAAAAAAATTCTTTGAAACATTCACGTTTGATTTCTTCTTCAACTTCAGAGATGAAAATAAAAAGGTGAAATTAAAATCTTTTATTAAAGCAAATTTAACGAATTTAACTATATTTTTCTAATTTTAGAAAAATGTAGCCTTAACTTTTTTTGGTGACAGTGAGATTCGAACTCACGCCCCATTACTGAGACTGCGACCTGAACGCAGCGCCTTAGACCACTCGGCCATGTCACCTTTATAGCAAGTTTTTTGATTTCCAATTTATTTAAACTTATTAATTTAGAAAATTTGGCAATTGTAAAGAATTTTCAAAGAACGGCATGATTACTTAATTTATAAAAGGTCAAGTGAATTTTTTAATTTCGTAAATAAAATAGAAACTTCCTTTATTGGCGCAGTATAATTTTTACTTTGAGAACGTCACGTTCAATTTTTTTTTTTTTGCTTTAGATTTGGAAGGATAAAGTTTTGATGTTTATTAACAATTGTAAAACATTATTATTCTTCAACGAAATAGCTTTTAGTTTTTACAATTTCTTTGAAATTAGAAAAAATGAAAAATTAACGATCTGCTATCAAAAATATGAAATCCCTAAAGAAACTTTTATTTTGGGCTGAAAATCATTGAATGAGTATCTTTTTATTATAATTTCCTTACAGGGATTTGGTGTATAACATAGATTTATGCTTATTTGGAATTGATAAAGTAATTCAACTTGTTTCGGTATTTTATTAACAAATAAAAATAAAGAAATTTTTTGGCGGGAAGATTCAAATTCAGCCACAACCCCGATTACATAAATTTCGTTTTTTTTTTTATTCTCTCGAACATTTTTTTAAAAATTAAAAAATGAGTAGTGGAAAACTTGAAGTTCATATTGGTATGTATAGTCCTTTACGAAACTGTATTTTACGAATTTATTTTATTGTGCACATTCGAATTCAACTTTTTATCTATCATATTTATTGTAGTTCAAGGTAGAGGTATAAAAGATATGGACACTGTTGGTATGTTGTGGCATTTTCTTTATGGAAGCAACTTTTTTTCTTTGCATTATATTAACACATTATCTTCAACTATTTTATTTATGTCGAAAATTGCAGGCAAAGGTATATTTATCATATATTATTTTATTTTATTTTATTTTTTTTTTTTAAAAAAAAATAAATTGACTTCTTTTTATATAAGGTGACCCATATGTTGAACTTTGGTTGGATGAAGATAAAACCACCAAACATAATACTGATTCTAGAAGTGGAACTGACACGCCTGTATGGGATAAATATTTTCATTAGTAAGTGGTTTTTTTCTCAATGTTTGACAAATTTAATTGGGTCACGGTTTAAATCATGTGATTTTCTTTTGATTAGTTTTGTTAACAATCACAAAGAACTTCATATCAGACTTCTCGACGACGAATTCATCGGTGCAGATGAAGTGGTAAGATATTCATTGGATGTTGAATTTTTTTTTCTTGTTTCTAAACTTAATTTTGAAATAAATATATATTCACTTTTAGATTGGTGTATGTTCAATTCCTCTCGCCGATGTTTATGAAAAAAGATATGTTGATCAGTGGGTTCATGTACCAGACAAAAAATCTAACGAGAGCAATGGTGAAGTTCGTGTAATTTTGGAATATTGGCCAACTAAATAATTAATAATCATTTTACTTCGAGGGAAAAAAAAAATCTCTTTATTTATTATAATTTATTATTTTTTGTTCATATATTTATAAATATTGTATTTAAATAAATTAACATAGTTACTCCGTAAAACGGCTCAAATTTACACGATTTTCATAAATAAATAAATTCATTTTAGCAACAAGGATTTTTTTGGGTGTCTACTTGCTTGAATCGAGAATTAGAATTCCAATAATTGAGATTAATCTTATTTAACATTGACCGAATTGATAAGACGAGTTCATTGATATTCTTGCCTTTCTCAATTCCAAAATTACAAAAAAAATTTTCTGTAATTTAGTCATTGTTGGCGTAAAAAAAAACGTTTGATTCCTTACTGTGTGTACTCATAAAAGATTAAATCGGATTGTTATAACGAAGATCACGCAAATATTTATTTTGGTTTTACAAAATATTTTAAGCATAGCTCTTTAACCTAAAGGAGTTAGAAATAATAAATAGTTTTATTTTAATGATTATTTGATATTGGACCTTAGTTATTTTTATCGTGAGTAGAAAACAGACCTATATTTTTTCCTAATCGGTCTTTGTACACAGTAATACAAGTCTCGTGTTCTTATATCAAAAA